TGAACCCAGGAGGTGGAGGTTGCAGTGAGCTGAGATCGCGCCACTGCACTCCAGCCTGGGTGACAAGAGTGAGACTCCATCTCAAAATATATATATAAGTAAACCACAGCAATTACATATAGTGACTTGAGGAAGAAATTACTCTCTTCAATGGCTACAGAATTCACTGCATTTTTGACAAAAACCGTAGATGACAAAACCCAACACACCTTTCATCAGAGGACATATTCTCATTTTATACATAATCAAGAAAGGAAAAAACACTGCCAATTAAACTATAATATGCCACTGTCAGATACACCCTAATAGCAAAGATGTTAAAATGGGGGGGAAAGTGTATCTTCGACTCAATGAAATAATGTTAGAAATAATCAGTATTGACTTTACTCTTTGAATTTGAGTTTGGAAGTTATAACAATATATTATTCAGGTGCTTCATGTGTTGTAGGCTGGATTCAATGCCATTATAAATCCAAACAGAAAAAAAAGCAAGAAAATAAGTCAAGAATATGAGAGTATTTTCAAACTTAACACAACTCTTTCATGAGAGCATTAAGACTACATTCACAGAGTAAACTGGCAACTCAAAACTCAAATTGTATTGCCTGTATGCACAACAGATGAATGTATAAATCACTTTCCCAGGGTCTGCTGCTATGGTTTAAATGTCCCCACCAAAACTCATATCGACATTTAATTGCCAATGTAGTAGTACAGGGAGGTGGGAACTTTAAGAGGATATTAGGCATTAACGGATTAATGCCATTATTGCTGGAGTGGGTTAGTTATTGTGTGAGTAGGCTCCTGATAAAAAGACAGCTTCAATCCCCATTCTCTGTCTCGCATGCTCACTTCTGCCTTCTGCCTTTTGCTTTGGGATAACTCTTGCCAGATGCTGGCGCCATGCTCTTGGACTTCCTAGATTTGAGAACTGTGAGCACAATACACTTGGATTGTTTATAAATTACCCTATCTGTGGTATTCTGTTATAGCAGCAGGAAATGGCCTACAACAGCTGTTTAATCAGTGAGCGTTCAGAGCATTTGGTACTCCACTCAGTGCACACATTGTGAAGTTTAACCACAGCTTTACATTTTTACAGCACTCTGGATAAAAATTCAACCAAATAACAAAATATAGTACCCTGTTAACATGTGCCAAATTCAAAATCCTGATCCTCCTCCTGTCCAGTGAAGACTGGTGCAGATACAGACAGGAGGGGCAAGGACAGAAGAGAAAGCCCATGCAGTGACTACTTGGTGCCAGGCGTGGGGCTAAGGACTTCCCACACATGACGGTACGTAATCATCCCAACAACCTCCCGAGGCAGGCGCGACTCCTTGCCCAGATGAGGAGGTGCCTGAGCCTGAGTAACTTGCTTATGATGACCCGGCTAATGAGTGGTAGAGCAGAGGTTGGAAAGCCAGTTTATTTTACCCCAAATCTCATACTTTTCCCACAGGATCAGTAGACCTATCTGGTCCAAAACTGTACGTAAGTACTGTGTTCAAGACATTTTTCGTCAGGCCCAGATGTAAACAACCTGAATTTGCTTATCTACCTTGTCCCTCCAAAGTCATATTCAGTTTTCAGGACTCATGGCAAGCAGTGAGGTGAGGTAAAGAGTTGGGAATTTGAGAAAAGGAAAAACGGCAGAAAAGAGCTCCAGAGATGAGGAACCAAGCAGTTCTAACTTGTCTAGAACTCTTCACTAGAAGCAAAAAGTAGGCCAATGCCTAAGGTGAGCAAAAGACCTCATGAGCTCAAGGCTGACATAAAGTTACGATACTGAAAATGTGTATAGAAATTAAAGCTTCCCTCATCTACTGAGATCATTCCCTAGAATTGAAGGCCATGGCCGGGATCTGGCCCACCTCTTACCAACCTGGTTGTGGCTATGACAGTCCAAGAGGTCGTTGCTGATGTAGGCCTGCAGAACGGTCTCCCTCTGCTCTCCGGGATGGGATGTGGTCAAGCGCTGGAGCAAGGAGAAACAAAAGCAGCGAGACCTAAGTCTTACCATGGAGAAAAGTTTCACAGAGCAGGCGTGTTTTAAATGGCAGTATCAGTAGCTACACATTTAAGCAAACAAAATAAGTAATATTCAGCTGGGGAGGTGGTGGCAAGTTAACCGGCCAACCAAAACAAGAAATTTTGATGTGGGCCGGGTGCAGCGGCTCACGTCTGTAATCCCAGCACTTTGGGAGGCCAAGGCAGGCGGATCAAAAGGTCAGGAGATCGAGACCGTCCTGGCTAACATGAGGAAACCCCGTCTCTAGTAAAAATACAAAAAAATTAGCTGGGTGTGGTGGCAGGCGCCTGTAATCCCAGCTACTCGGGAGGCTGTGGCAGGAGAATGACGTGAACCCACGAGGCAGAGCTTGCAGTGAGCCAAGATCACGCCACTGCACTCCAGCCTGTGTGACAGAGTGAGACTCCGTCTCAAAAAAAAAAAAAAAGAACCTATCATGTGCTTCCTAATGGGTGACACAGGGAGCCAATTTATACATGTGAACTCTTCAGAGAAGTGAGGCAGCAAAATGCTCAGACTGCAAGTGTGCAGATAGGGAAGAGCTCATCCATGCCCAGAGAAGCATTTCTTGTATAAAGGGGCTCAGAAGCTGGCCCCTGCAGGAAAGGCTGCCTATTAACCAGCACAGGGGAACGTGAGTATGGTGGGGGACAGGGAAGTGAGGTCTAGCTCAGGGAAGTACAATACAGGGCACAGTGGCGTGGGCTCAGTGGGAGGGGCCCAGGGCTCACTATAGAGCACTCTGAATGCATGCTCCGCCAACAAATTCACTCTATCCTATCCTATAGGGAATGACAGAGTGATACAGTGCATGTGCCTATGCGTGTGTGTGCATGTGTGCATATGTGCATGTATGAGTGTAGAGGTAGCTGGCTAGAATTTTGTAGATTTTAGAAAGCCATAAGTCTGTCATGTTGCTACAAGTAAAAATTTATGCAATGTCCACAGAGCTAGTATAATGGCTGTGTGTATGTGTGCACATGGGTGTGTAAAGGTGTGAGGTGGGATACGAAAAAGCACGTAACAGAGTAAGCAAATATCCTTGCTCTTTCAGGAAAATCCTACTAGATAAAAATCCTGAGGCTGTAAGCCCTGCTTCTAGCCAAAGAGAAGCTGGATGTGCAAGGAATGTGCTAGTTCTTAGCATGGGCAAGAGCACAGGCCAGAGCATCAGACGCCCTGGGCTGGAAGGAGAGCCGGGAAGGCCTCCAGAGCAGGCACTGCCAACAGACGTGACCATCATGGCCAGGGTGTGCCTGGAATGTCACACTGGGGTGCTGCTACCCTTCTGTTGAATTCACTGAGGTTGAAGCAGGGGCAAGAAGCCGGGTGGGGGCACTGGAGAGGGACACAGACAAAAACATTAGAAACCTGTTCACCTTTCCTGGTTGTTTTGTGAGGATGTCACTCTCTCAGCAAAGGAATACCCTGTCTCAGCAAGAGGCTCAGGAGTAGCACGGACTGAGAGGAAGTGCAGTGTCAGTAAACCAAGAGCCATATGAAAGATGAGTTTGAGAGTTTGAGCAGAGAGAGACAAATGGCCAGGGAGGAGACGGCCACTGTGGATGACTCATGCTGCCCCACCCACTCCAGTCCTGACCCAAACAAAACCAGAGCGGACATCACTGCTTGTCCATAGGACTCTTCCTGTGGATCCTGGATACGTCGTCCGAGTCCTCAAGACGTACTTCAGGAAGCACTATCATAGAAGCATGCAAGTGAGAACCGTTTCTATGCACAGATGGGAAATTGCTAAGGATCCTTATGCCAAGATACCTTGAAATTCGGGGGTCCATGAAGGTGTCTGATGCTAATGAATTAGAATGAACTATTCAGTTAAAGAACTGCTGGCTCAATCAAGGTTGGCTTGAGTCAGCAGTTCTCACAGTGTGGTCCAGAGAACCCGGAGAGGTCCCCTAAACCCTTTAGGGGGTCTGCAAGGTCACAATTTTCATAATACTAAGATATGACAATGCCTTTTTTGTGATCAGTCTCTGGGAGGCTATATGAAGTGTGACACTGACAATCAAACCCAAAGCAGATATAAGAATCCACCTGTCTTCCATCAAGCCAGACATTAAAGACAACTGCAGAACAATGCTGCTTTTCTCACAATTCTGTTGTTGTTTGGAAAGTAGTATTCATCACAAAAAATGTTATTATGTTAACATGTCATTCATTATTGCTCATTTTAAATGAATTAATAAACATATACTTCAAATCTTTAGCGTTTTGTTTTCGTTTTTTGGTTTTTTTGAGATGGGGTCTCACTGTGTCGCCCAGGCTGGAGTGAAGTGGTGTGATCTTGGCTCACTGGAACCTCTGCCTTCCGGATTCAAGCAATTCTCCTGCCTCAGTCTCCTGAGTAGCTGGGACTACAGGCACCTGCCACCATGCCTGGCTAATTTTTTGTATTTTTAGTAGAGATGGGGTTTTGCCATGTTGCCGAGGACGGTCTTGAACTCCTGACCTCAGGTGATCTACCTGCCTCGGCCTCCCAGTATGCTGGGATTACAGGCTTGAGCCACCATGCCCAGGTAAATCTTTTCAGTTTTAATTTCAAATGCTGTAAATATTGGTAGACAAAATTCACATAAATGAAAGCTCTCTGAGGTCCTCAGTAATTTTTGAGAGTGGAAAGGGGTCTGACACTAAAAAGCTTGAGAACCAATTGCTGACTTCAACTGCACTCAATCTGAACACTAGGGAGAAAAGTAACGATGGGGACCAGGCCACTTCCTTTAGGCCTTGTGAACAGGCGGTCTTTCCTTGGGTGCCTCTCCAGGGTGCCCACACGGCAGTGCCTGAATACAGAACCTCTGTGGGACTGTGATCAACCCTGACTCCATGCGCTCACACGCGGCCCCCACAAGTAGAGTGGGGCTCACGGCCAGGAAACGGCTACAAGCAGGTGCAGTCTCTCAGGCCTTGCAATTCATTTACCTAACTCATTACATCACAATTGCCATAATATAGGAGTTTCTCAAAGGAGGCCCAGGCTATCTTCAGAAGTGGCTTTCGACTTCCGCTTTTGGTGTCAGCAGACAGCGGAGAAGAACGATTTCTGGAAGATGGGTTAAAAGATACAAGCAAGGTAGCCAGCCAAGAAACCAGCACTGGTTTGGTTTTGTTTTCTAACTTTAAGACAAAGGTACCTACCCAGCGTAGAGCCTGCAACAAGAAGGCTTTCAAGCGGTCACTCCCCAAAATCAAATCCTTCTTCAGTTTCTCATAATCCAAGGAGGGCAGTAATGGGACATCCTTCAATTTCCTACTCAGCAACACAAGTTCAAAGAGAAAGAAAAGGGCAAAAGGGCATGTTCGTTACACCTCCTGAGCATTATGACACCCGAGCTAGAGCCTGCTGTTCCCCTGGGCTCCCAGTATGACCTCCTGGCTTCTACTTGGAGGGTGGGCTGGGTTCTGGGCTCCTACCTCAGCTTCAACCAGCTCAGCTCTGCCTGTTCTGTTGGATGGACTTAGGTTCTGTTTAACATTTTTCCTAAAACAAGGAGTCTTTGTCTGAACAGATTTAGAAACCCCTACATTCACCTTCAGCCAGACCTCCCTAGGATGGGGAGGAAATCACCTTGGGGGCATCTTGACTTTCCACCGAAGTTCTGTTTAGAATTCTGGACATAGTTCAAAGACAATTAGCATCACCAGGCCCCAAGAGTTCTACCTAAACACCTGAAGCCAGTGTTCCTCTCAAGCCTGAGCGACTGGACTGGGGGAATATGAATGACAGTCAGAAAACAAGTGTGAAGAGTAAGTAGGCAGAGGCCAGGCATGTTGGCTCACGCCTGTAATCCCAGCACTTTGGGAGGCCTAGGCAGGTGGATCACCTAAGGTCAGGAGTTCGAGACCAGCCTGGCCAACATGGTAAAACCCCATCTCTACTAAAAACACAAAATTAGCCAGGCATAGTGACACATGCCTGTAGTCCCAGCTACTCGGGAGGCTGAGACAGAAGAATCACTTGAACCCAGGAGGTGGAGGCTACAGTGAGCCGAGATTGCACCACTGCACTCCAGCCTAGGCAAGACACAGCAAGACTCTGTCTCAAAAAAAAAGAAAAAAAAGAGTAATTAGGTGGGTGGCTCAGCCCTCCGAGGAGGTAGAATGCGTGGTCAGCAAGCAGCATGGGAACATAGGCAGGAGATGGGTTGTAGGACAATTTGCAGACCCTCCTCAGGGAGACTGCAAAGACCTCTGGGGAGCCAGGTTTCAGTGAGGAGAGACCTCAGATTTGAGATCCACACAGCTCAGACTGCCCCGCCACTCACCTTCGGTCAGCCAGAAACCAAAGGAATCACCTCAGCCTCCTTGTTGCTAAAACAAGTGTCTTCACGCTTTGTTTTTTGTTGTTTTATTGTAGAAAAGGAGATTAGAGGGCATGGAAAAACTGGTGAAACTAAATGAGCTTTGCAGTCTACTTTACAGTACTTTATCAATGATGGTTTCCTCATTTTGGTGTCATACTACAGTATTACGCCAAATGCTAAGTGTTGTATATGTATTAACTCATTTTGATCCTCACAACAATCCTAAAATAGAATTACTATGATTCTCCTCATTTTATAAGTGAGGAACCGAGGCACGAAGAAATTATATAAGTAATCCTCGGTCCCAGGGCGGGTAGCAGGAGTGGGCTTTTAACCCTAGCAGTCTGTGCAGTGATACTGCTGCCAAAGTGGTAGGAGAGAATAAAGTGTGGGGTCAAGGTCAGACTCAGGCAGGGCTGAGGGAGGAGGAATGCTGTGGGCATCTCAGGTGTGTGAGGAATCACACAGCACCCCTATCTTCCCCTTCTCCCCCGCAAAGCTGGCTCAGAGGGTCCCAGAAGCCACTCTGGTCCTCATGTCCAAGTCAAAGGTTCTCAACTCCCTTGTCACCACAGCATCAGACACTCCCAAGGGGGACAGCCCAACTCATCAGGACACGAGTGCTCAGGCATACACAGGGCTGCCCATGGCCCTGATCACAGTGTGAACCAGCAGACAACACAAATTCAGACAGTGCAACACTCTGTGGATTGCACTATGATAGTAGATTACATTTCTATACAATACCATATGAACAATTCTACAGTTGTTTTCATTTGAGGCTTCCTTACCAAAAGAATAGAATTAACAATATAAGATGGCCGGGCACGGTGGCTCACACCTATAATCCCAGCACTTTGGGAGGTCAAAGGGGGTGGATCACTTGTGGTTGGGTGTTCGAGACCAGCCTGACCAATATGGAGAAACCCTGTCTCTATTGAAAATACAAAATTAGCCGGGCGTATTGGCATATGCTTGTAATCGGGAGGCTGAGGCAGGACAATCGCTGGAACTCAGGGGGCGGAGGTTGCAGTGAGCTGAGATTGCGCCACCGCACTCCAGCCTGGGCAACAAGAACGAAACTCCGTCTCAAAAGAAAAAACAAAACACACACATGCAATAAAAGATAATTCTAGTTTAACAACATAACTACTCATATTTCCTTTAATATTCACATGTAGCTCTAGCTCAAAGGCGTTCCTCTAAGCTAGGCTGCTGAGTGTTTATTAAAGACACTTTGAATTCCCGTTTTACACATTGCTGTTCTCCTTAATAAAAATTCCTAAGAGTAGTTACTTACACGGGTGCCAAGGAGGCTCGTAACATGGTGGATGCCTGGGGGGAAGAGGACAGAAGAAAACAGATGGTGTTAAACACTGATAGCAACGCACGGATCCCAAATCACCCTAATAGCATGTAATCAACAGATGTGCAAGTTAGGTTTTTTTTGGTTTTTTTTT